CCCCGGGGCGCCGCTGCCCGCATTGCAGCCTTTATGTAAGCGCGGCCGGCTGAACGCTCCCCCGCCCGGGCACCCGCACGCGCCCCGGGGCACCCACGGGCTCACACACGCGCCCCGGGGTGCACACGGGCTCACGCACACAGAGCGGGTGTGCGGACATGCCCACCCAGCAGCACGCGTGCAGAGAGCGACATGCATGCACACATACATACACCGTGCGCAGACACGCAGCACGGGCGCGCGCGGGCGCACACAGAGCTACATGTGCACAGGCTGTGTGCACGCATGGGCAGCCACACACCATGGGTAGATGTGGGCATGGGGAGCGCCACGCGTGCACACACACTGTGTGCTCATGTTATCGCTGTGGGAATGCCCATGGGCTGCACTGCATGCACACACACATGCTGTGTGCGCACACGCTTCGCTGTGCAAACACGGGCACACACATAACACTGCGTGTCTACGCCCACACCACGTGTGACCACGCGCTGTGCCACATGCGTACACGCATCCATGTGCACGCATGAGCACGAGCTGTGCCAGGCACACACACGCACTGCCACACAAACACACCCCACTGCGTGCACTACAAGTGCGCGCACACACACAAATACACAATGCTTCATGTACACATACACACACACCTGCACATCATCCCAGGTCATACACTTGCATGACTGTGCACCGCAGCTGCACATACCCCCAACCGCACACAGCACTATGCCCCCCCCCCAGCACCACACAATGCATGAAACAGGCACACAAGCACATCCGCTGTACTCACACACGAGACACAGGCACACACAGAAAGAGACTGCAGATGCATAGACACAGCAAGCACACGCCCGCACAGACACAGAGCCATGGGCTCACACACAGTGCGTGCTGTGCATGTGTGCCTGCACACACAAGCACAGCGTGCTCCTCCTTCCTGTCTGCATGGGTCACTCTCAGCGCACACAAGGGAGCAGTCCGAAACTGTAGCAGTGGTGGGTGCAGCCTGGGTAGCCTGTGGCCCCTCCATCTCCCCTGCATGTGCTCTGGGTGCTGAGCCCAGCTAACCAGCCCCCATTCCCCCCACTCGGGGCCATCAGGTGGGCAGACAGTCAGGTACAAACCCACCCCCACCTCAAACACACCCATGCACATGCAAAAAGTGTACACAGACCAATGCATAGGTAAAAACGCCCGCACCATGGAGACTCACACACACCAACACGCACACATAAATGCATGTATGCACCCAGGCACACACAAAGCCAGCGAGGGTGGAGGGATCTGGAGGGGCCAGAGGTGCACAGCAGAGCAGAGCTGACATGTTCACAGCTCAGCTTTCCAATGTGGCGATGGAGGATGGCTGGAGACATCCCTTGGGATGCTGGCAGAGCCGGGGCGGGAAGCACAGCACAGGCTGTAAAAGATACCCCCTGTCCAGCAGGGAGCATGGAGAAGGCTCAGTTGGGTCCCTTGCTGAGCTGAGGCTCCATTTAAGCAACCCAGCTGATGGATGCCTGTGTCCATGCCACCTCTAAGCCTTGTCCCCATGGCAAACCCCATGGACCCCTGGGCCTGTGCAGGGTTGCAGGCGCTGGCACATCCCTGCGTGAGCGGTGGGACGCAGGGGAGCACCTAAGCTGGGGTGCAGAGGGGACTGTGGGTGCTGGGGGCTGCGGGGGCTGGGGGTGGCCATGCTGTCCCAGCATGCAGGGGTTCTCCCAGCCCCATGGCCCCAGCGTGGGGCACAGCCACCCTCGGTCCTCGCTCACTGGCGCATTGCCCAAGCAGGGGTCTGGGAGGGAGAGAAAGGGCTAGGAGCCCGATTGTGCAAAATGGCTCCTGTTGGTCAGCTGCTGTGCGGTGCAGCACAGCGCAGCCCTTGCCCCCCCCAGCCCCCAGCCTCTCACCCAGTGCCTGGTCCTGCCCAAGGCCCATATCCCAGCCCTGCGGGGTGCAGGTCATCACCCACCCCTCATTTCAGCATGGCACTGGGCACCTCTGCGTAGGGCACTCCCATCCTCCTGCCTCTACAGGTGACCTCCCCAAACCCTTCTCCAGTAATTCCTTCCTTCTCCCATGGTAGGGTCTCCGACCCCTGCCCCAGCTTGCTCTGCAACCTCAGCTTGCTCCCACCCAACACCAGGCAGGATCTTCCCTCTTCCCACCCAGTCCCCAGGTCCCCTTCCCCAGGCGCACTTCGTCTTCCTCTGCTGTCCTAGGAAGCTGCCCCTCCAGCCTGGGGGCAGAGCACATCCTGGGGCTTGGGCAGATGCTTCGGGGAGGAATAAGTATTATTTCCTCCCAGACATCAAAGTCCTTGCACTGATTCACCCTAGCTGGAAGCCTGTCACCAGATGGGGACATTCCTTGTGCTGTGAAAGGGCATTAGTGTAACAAAGGATCCCCCAGGGATTACCCAGCTCCTTTCTCTCCCTTTTACACAAAATAGGATCCTGCTGGAGACCAAAATTCCAGCCCTGTAAATACAGCAGGATCTTGCCAAGATCCTCCTTCCCCATTTCAGTATAACCCAGATCCCCTGCACCCCATTCCCATTGCCCCAGTGTGCTGAGGGCAGATCCTGGCTCCTGCCCCCCCCCCCCCCCCCCCCCGGCTTTCTCATTTCTCTGTGTGCTCAGGGCCAGATGGCTGATTTGCTCTGTGGCTCTGCACTCCTTCTCCTGCCCGGAGTCCCAGCTGACCACTTTGTTTGTAATAGTCCTCAGAGGGGAATTACAACCGAGTATTAAATGTGTGGTTAAAGAAATCGCATTACACAGTGTGACTGTAAGGGAGATGTTTCCCTTTAATCTGCAATCCATGAAAGTTATTAGTTTAGCGAGCGGAGCAGCTAGGCACGGCATTTCCATTAAGATATAACCCTGAGCAGACCCATCACTTCTGCATGGGCTGCAGCCCGAGCCGTGGCACAGCACCCCTCACTCCCCGGCGCAGTCCTTGCTTTGCTGTTCCTGATTATTTGAATGCCATTATCGTGTTAACATGGGGCTGTTTAACATTGCAGAAAAGAAAAGGAAAATAATCACACTCAATGGCCAATGTGCTCCTGTGAAATAATGTTTGTGTCGTGTATCCTGTCCTACAGGTCTATGCAATATTAGTTAGTCACCCTCCTGCTCCCAACGATCACCTAACACCAACACCCGTATCATACACAGCTGGCTTCTACAGGATCCCTGTCATTGGTCTGACAACACGCATGTCTATATATTCTGATAAGGTAACTGATGCATGTTTCTAGTCTAGTACCTCATACATGTGGTGTAAATCAAGAGTGCCCATCAGGAGGGTTAATGATGTCTACACTACCCTGCCTATCTATCTGTCTGTCCATCCATCCTCTCCAGTTAAACCTGCAGCTCCCTCTTTCTCTGTCCTGCATTCCCTGGTACATTATTTTTTCGCAGCTGCCAGTGTTGACCTACATAGTGCTGGATGATTTCTGCAGCGTTTCTCTGCCAGGCTGCTGGGCTCACTGCTCTTCAGCCAAGGCAAATGCACAAACCAGCTCCTGCCCTGCTTACTAGTGACAGCTGGGGGGTCCTGGGTGCTCCCTGGGTGCAGGGGGCCTGCGGAGGGGCAGGAAGATCGCAGTGGAGCCTGTACATCAGGCTGGAGCTCTCTGGAGCTTGAAGGTGGTTTGGTTGCATTCACTTCTCTGGGTTTATGTGATATTGGTAGGGAAGATAATAGAATTGATTAACAAGTTATCCTGAGGCTTTAAAAAACATTCAGTCCAGCCAGCACTCAAGAAAGAGGTTCAAATTCCAGTGTCTCAAACCACTCTCTGCTGTCCCTGTGAAAACATGGAGACTTTCAGGCTGGATGAGGTCCTGCTGTGTGCGGGGGCTGGAAGCAATGCCCTGGCCTGGGCAATGAGATCCTGCCCTGCCCAGCTCTTCCACCAGGCACTCAGCTCACAACCTGTCTTGCAAAGACACTTCAGGATTAGTAAAAGCAAAAGGAGGAGCAGAGCCAGGTGGACCACATGCCATTGAAGCCTTGGTGGAGCTTTTTGTCCAGGTGCACGAGCTTAGGGGGTGAGATCAGGCCTGTTTTGAAGCACGAATCAGCCTTTGCTTGGAAAATGTGAATATTCACAAATGCAAATGTTCAGTGCAAAAATAGTCACTCCACCTACATGCTAAATGAAGTCAAATTTCAGGAGGGAGGAGCAGAGGCTCGCAGAGATGCAGCCCACAGGACTGCGCGGCTGGAGCAGCAGCAGGTCTTGGCATCTCCCACCAGGTAAAACCATGGGAGGACAACCAGCAAGCCAAGACCACAGCAGTGACAGCAACAGTGGCTGCCGGGGGCTGGGGACCCGCATTCCCCAGCAGGGTCCCATCAGGCACTGTCAGAAGGAAAGGGATGATAATAGAGCTGGCAGACTGAAGGAGAGGGCAGGCAGCAGGTAGGAAATGTGCAGGGTGAATTTGGTTCATGTTGCCAGGGGGAGGAGATGGGTCTGATCAGAAATGTTACCAAGAGGGACCTTGTCACAGTGCACACGATGACGGGAAGAGGAGACCCCGCATGCTATCAGTCCAGCTTAATCTCAGCACATCCATGCTCACCAAAGCAAATTGGCCGCCTTTTTCATAGCATGACCTTGTGCTGAACTTGCGTGCTCACTCTGAGGGGGAGGGAGCTTCTCCGGCAGACTCTGCTTCAGCCATTTTTTTCCTATTTAAAACATGTTTTCTGCCAAAGTGGCTCATAAAAACTACCTGGCTCACTTCAGAGCTGGAGGAGCAACCCACTGTGGCAGTGGCGACCCACTGCAGTGGCAGGGAGATGCTCCCCACTGAACATTTAGGGGTGTTGGGCAGGTTCAGGGCCGTGGGGTGCACTCGCCTGGCAGAGACTCGGGAAGGGAGGCCACACGGCATGTCTCACCCCTCCAAGTGCTCCTGCCTGGCTGGCTTCATGCTCAGCCTCCTTCCCACCAAGGCAGCCAAGGGCTGGAGGACTTTGAGCTCTATGCAGGGAGGGGAGTTGCAGGCAGGAGATGGGGCAAAGGCAGGGACTGGGTGGGTAGAGGAGCAAGGGCATTGAATAGTGGAGTGGCAAGAGCTGGAGGTGACAGCAAAGGTGGGATTGGAGTGGAGGACAGCAGAGCAAAGGCGTGTGAAGGCCAGTGCAAGGCTTTGCACACCCCATGCAGGACAGACTGGCTGGTGCAACATGGGGACATTCAGCTGGTTCCCTTTTTGGTTTCCAGTGATCAGCTTGCTTTTTTTCTTTTTTTAATTCAGGAAATTATATCTTTCAGTTTAGTTTCTATGGAAACAAGCTTGTAAGATCACTTTGTGTATATGCCCAATTGGTTTTGAAGGCATCAGCCAGTTTTAGCTAAATTTCACAGGGGGTTGAACTCTCAGAGTTAATTATGGTCCTCCCAAGGCTAAGCTGGCAGGGAGGGAAAGGTGTGGGCCTTAGCACAGACAGGTATTCCCTGTACCTTTTGATGCTCTCAGAGCATCTTCAGTCAAGCACAACGGTCCACGAGCTATAGCTAGTCTTTCAACAAAGACACCTGAGGGAAGCAAGCTTTATTGCTCCCAGTATTCAAAGAACTATTTGTTCTAGAAATGGTATTGCAGCTATCAAGCTGAGCACTCTGGCTTGGCAGCCTCTGTTTGGCCTCCTTATGCCTACATCTTATGAAATCATTACCTGTTTCTTCACTGAGATCCTCACATCACTCAGCACAGTCCCACCTGCATGGTGAGGGGGTGTCTGAAATCCCAAGTCACCTCTGAGTGAGGTGAGCAGGGAACTGCAGGGGAAGAGAGGAGGGTCTCACAGTAAAGGCAGCAGAGCGGTACCCATCACTGTGGTATCTGTCACTATGGAGAGCCCTTCATGGTCTCCTCATGGACTGAGCATTTTAAAAGTCACTCTCTCACCTTCTCACGCTGGGCCCCCTGAAGAGACAGGCTGGACTATTGCTCTGGTGCTTCTATTCCCCATGTGTCATTGCGGGTATTTATATCTCCTTTGCATCTCAGCCAAAAAAATGAGATGACATTGACATCTTGAAAATATGGGAAATATGAAATGACACTGAGAGTGTGAGAGTGAAGCTCGTGGGGAAATGCACAGCTCAGGAGCTGGGAAGGTCTGGTGCCGTTCATTACCACCACTTGGAACCACACCTACGTGATGGAGATGAAGGGACATGCTGGGTGCCCCAAGGTGCAGAGCCCACACCATCTCCCTGTCAAAGAGGCAGTGCAGCGGAGGATCAAGGGTGGCTCTTAACTGACACCTGCTCTGCTGCTGAAAGAGATGGAAAATGGAATTTAGTCATTCTGCACTTGGAGAGCCATTTCAGTGTCCAGCACCTGGTCCTGGTAGTTGAAATGAGGTCTCTCTCTCTCTCTCTCTCCAGCCTGGGCCTGGGGATGGCTTTTGCCTCTGGTTCCTTGTCTCAGTATAACCACTCCATGGAAGTGGGGAGAAAAGTGATTCCCCTTGACCAGGGTCAGGGTCAGGACTCCTTCACTGGCACCTGCAAGAAGTGACTGGAGAGGCTGGTTAACACAGCGTAGAGATGTTTGCCCCGGGAAGGGGTTTCACAGCCACTGCCAAGCAGCACAGCCGTCAGCAGGGGCTGCCTGCATTGCGTCAGAGCAGGTGGGGAGGTTCTGCACACTAAAGCCAGTGCTGATGGCAGTGATGGAGCCCAACCATCCCAGCAGAGGAGAGCTCTTCACAGGCTCTCAGGATTCAAGCTGGGAGGAGAACAGAGCAGCCCCACCACTCCACAGCTGCTGCTGTGGTCCTGGGCCATTCCCCAGAGGTTGACAAGTCCTTTCCTCCACAGACTGTAGGAAAAGGCAGACGATGCATTTGCGTCTGAGCTCCCCATACGGCTGCCCCCACTAAAATCCCTCCCAGCATGTCTAAGCTATTGCAGTTATCTCAGCTCCCTCCCACGTCTGCAGCTATCATGCGGGGCAGTGGGCAGGCTGCTTTCTGATGGGGCTAAGCGACATGCGTGCTGGCTGGCGGGCAGGCTGAACAGAACAGGGAACAGAGCAGCCCAGACTCCTTCCATGGAGACACTGGCCAGGGCTTCTTTTTCATACCCAGCTGATGATTTTTGCTAAATTATCACGAACTTTATACATTGGAATCTCTGTCAATCTCCTTGAAACTGACCAGACAGCTCAGTTATGGAGTGCACTGCTAGAAGGGGGATTGACCACATTATTTCCTTAGGTAATCAAACAAAAGCACATTGTTTCCTCAAGCTGGTAGGAAAAATTACTCTGTCAGCCATGGACCATGAGCTATGATGAGCCCTTCAGCAGACAGAGGTAAAGAAGATAGCAATCCTTTCACTCACGGATGTGTACATGGTCCTTATGTGGACACACATGCACTGCCTGGTGGCCCATGCCTGCACAACCCCTATACATGTGCGCATCCCCTATGTACACAAACTCCAGCAATAGGCACCCACACATGCACCCTCCCCCAGGCATGGCATGGCCAGGCCGTGTGCAGACTCTTTGTGCACAGCTATTCAAGCACCCAAGCACAGTCCCGGCGTGGGTACATGCACACACATGCTTTCTGCATGTACATGCCCACATTTATGGATGCAGAGAGTCCTTGCTTTCACGCGCACACACACACACACATATGATCTACTCGAACTTAGCTCCTCTTCATATGTACTCGTATCAACCAAGTCAGTACCACTAATAATTTGCAGTTCCTAAGAGTTCTGACCTAGCACATGTCCCCAGCCTCATAACCACAGTCACTCCCAGTGCATCTAGGCTCCAGCCCCATAGGTTTCTGCTGAGCTAATTCCACTTGAAAGCCTGGATTCCATCCCAACCTGTATTTACTTACTTTTTGCAGAAATAGAATTAAGTGAGGAAGCCCAGGGCTGAGCACACAGGTTTTGGTGGGGTATAGGAAGATAATGCAGGAAGCTGCTCCTTGGCTTGGGGTTGCTGTCAGTGATTTCCATGCTCACATCCCAGCACTCCTGGCAAGCGGCAGGCACCCTCAGAGGAGAGCAAATGATGTGAATCCTGCAAAACATAGTACAAGGCCAACAGCTGATTTGTAATTAGGAACATTTTTTTTCCTGTGTGCCTGATCTGAGGGGAGCGGGTTATGACCCATGACAGCTCAGAGTTTGACCACTTGTAGCAGTACGTCAGGGACGGTGCTGACGAGTGGTGCAGCAGAAATGAGTTAACATACTGTGCCTGTTGTCTCACAGAGGCTGTGTTAAAAAATCAGGTCTTTATAACAATTATTTCTCTAAAACTGGGCTAACTATGGTGCATAAATTGTTGCATCCACACACTTTGCAGTACAGCCCCATGTGTCCATGTGCTGCATAGCCAGGAAAGCTCTGTGCTGGGTTTCAGAGGGATTTGTCACTGCGTATGCTGTGATAGGGGTTATCAAATCGCACAAAACCTGATTCCCAACTGCCTCTGCACATCACAAATTGGACTTTTTAACCTTTGGGGGACTCTACTTTCATTTTTTCTGCCAACCTTTGGGCCCTGCAGGGAAGTTCAGGAGTCCCAGGTGCTTCAGAAGCTGAGCACAGAATATGAATGCTTATCCTAAAATCCAGAATCAGCATTTACAATTAGTTATTCTTCATTATCCTATTTAATAACTAAAATTCTGTAATCTGAGAGCTGACATACCATCATAGCAAGTCCATGACCCTTTTAACACCACCTCCGAAAGCAAATTTGCCTGAACTGTTAAACCAAGTTGCTCTCCAACAACTTTGCAGTAAAATTTCTTCATCTGACCTAGGGATATGTATTTACAACACTTAAGAAAGCCATGAGCAGTTTAAACAGCATTTTTGCAAGCTAGTTGGGAAACTAGAAAATAATTTGATGCAATATATTGAAATTTCAAAGATGTTTTCATTTCAAAAAGGGATTGAAATAATTTTGAGTTAGAATTTTGATTTTTTTAGCCTTTTTTTTTTTACTATTAGCTATTCTGTTCTTTTTTCATTTCTTTCCTCTTTTCTGATTTTTTTCCATTTTAATTTTTCCTGGATTTCCTTAAACCAATTAAAAATGCTCAGGGATTAAAAATTAAAAATGCTTAGACCCATCTTCTGTGCCCCTGGTCCGAGCTGTGGAGCTGGACCTGGAAATACCTGGGCACTTCTGCTGACTCCAAAGAGAGGTTGAGCACCATGTTGGTGTGGAGACCATAGCTGTCCTTGCATTGTTTGTCCCTATGGGGCTTCTTCCTGATCCTGTTGATTAGTACTGGACTTGTGGGGTGAGCTGCATTTCTCCTGCTCTTCATGTAATTGGGAATGTTTGTATCAGTCATACAAAACTGCAGCTCTGAGACGCTTGTTACAGCTCTCCTGATTCATTTCCTCCTTTGATTGAACATCCACAGTTCTTCTCAGTCTCTTCGGTAATTAGGAAATGTTTCCAGTGCTTTGACGTTTTTGCTGCTGCCTCTGTCATTTCTGTGTTTTGGGCCAGGGCAGCAGAAAGGACCTCCTGTCCCAGTGCAGACAGACCTGACCATGACAGCGGTTTTGCCCTATTTTTTATATGTTGCATGGTTCGGTTTGACTTTACCACTGTGTTGAGTGTGAGGGAAAGGCGTTATCTGGTCTGCCTGTTCCTCCTGTGTGGGTCCATGGTGGACACGATGTCTTTTCCCTTCCAGCATGAATTACTTTGGCCCACTCAGGACTATTATTTCCGACCTGTGCTGGGGCTGGTCTCTGGATGAGCAGGTATGGACAAGCCCTGTTTGGTCCAGAGGACCATCTCAGCCCTAAAAAAAGACATATTATGGTGCTTTCCTTTTTGTCCTCTCCTGTTCAGACTTCTGCCTCCCTTTAGCATATAGCTGGTTTGTCAAGGAGCATCCATGCTGAGCATAAGCACTTTCATTTTCTAATATTTGACTCCAGGGCCTTTTTGAAAAGCTGCATTTTTTTGAAACCTCTTTGTCTGCTACAGCTTTTGGTCCAATTGCTCTCCTAAGAGTGCTGTACTTAATTAGCCTGGAATTGCTATTGGTCAATCATCCAACCATAATGATGTCTTTAACCAAATCAGATAGGTTAGCTGGGGCATGAGTGCAGAGCTGCCTCCTCCTGTGTGCTGCTGCAGAACAGGCTGACCTAGAAACAGCCAAACAGCATATTATAAAATTGCTTTTCTGAACTTCTGTCTTGACAAATAACTAATATATACCTGCATGTACCCACAACTGCTCCTTGTCACTCTCTGAAGGGAATTTCTTTTCTTTTTAATGTCCATTGCTCAATAATATTTTCAAAAAGTCAAGAGGAAAGGCTATATTTGCACTGAATGTTGCTGACAGTTCGTTGCTGGGTAGGCTTTTCTTCACCATGCATTTAGAGACCACAAAGCAAAAAACCCGCTTTGCCATGTGCCAAATTAACCACAGAGAGGTACAAAATCGTAGACAGGGTTTGCTTCTCAGCCAGAAGAAAGAATTGTGGGTCCCAGAGGCTAGCTCAAGTCGTGCAACCCAGAGGTCTACCAAAAATTGCTGCTCTGCCTCTTTGGCCTTGCAATCCCAGCCCTGTCCCTGCAAACCTGCCCGGTCCCTGAGACGCACCCTGGCTGACAACCCAACCAGTCTATGTTGAGCTCTTGTTCTTCCTTGCAGAGTATCCACCTGTCCTTTTTGCGCACGGTCCCACCATACTCTCACCAGGCCAACGTCTGGTTTGAGATGATGAGAGTCTTCAACTGGAATCACGTCATTCTGATAGTCAGTGACGACCATGAAGGTCGTGCTGCACAAAAGAAGCTGGAGACCCTCTTGGAGGAGAGAGAGTCCAAGGTCAGTTCCTGAACATTGTCTTGTAGCTTTGTTTAAGCAACAACAACAAAACTAGAAGTCTTGGGCTGTTGTATGTATGTAGATTTCTGTATGTAAAACACCTTTTCTTTCCATTGTAACATGGCTAACATGCTTAAAGCATCAACAGTGTCTGACTAGTACCTGACAGAACTTTGTACTTTATTCATTTCACTTGCTTTGCCATGGTCAAAATCTCCTACATGTAAATCGACTACAAAATGAAGGGAAGGATAACCTGGAGCTCTGCAAATGCCTCGCCCAAGATTCCCACCTAAGGAGAGGACCAGTCGCTCAGCTTAGGGAAGCACCTGCCCCATTACAGCCACCCACGGGCCAGGCAGACCCAGCAGTGCTAAACCAACCCCGAAAAGCAGCTTCTGAATTGGCTAACCGGAGCTCACCTTAGTGGCTTAGGAGGGGCAAGGGCAGCCGGCACATTGATGCACGGAGGTATAATGCACCCTCTCTATAAAGCTGTCAGCTCTGCGGCTGCAGGCTGACGCCCCCGTTCCCATCTCCATTGAAGCACATGCCAAACGCTGCTTTCCTGACACCCCATGCTGTTACAAGAGGGCGGTTGCGGCTGGCGGGAGCAGCTTTATCGAGGAGGTGCACTGCACCTGCACTCAGGGCCACGCAGGGGAACAGGAAGGGAGGCAGGGGAGGTCCCTGAACCTGCTAGAAATTCAGGAGGACAACCATAGACCTGCTGCCATTGAGTAAAAGGACTGAGCAAGCGTTCAAGATGAGCAGGCAAGGAGAACACAGGGACCCATTCAGCTGCAGTGCTTCAAAGGCAGGTGCCTGTCTGGAAGGCAAGGAACCACCTCCTGCCCTACGGGGTGAAGTCCCAGCATGTCCTCTTGCCCAGGGCAGGGTGAGGTCCCCTTCGGGTGGGCAGAGTCTGAGCCCATCTCCAAGTCTGCAGCAGCGTCAGGGCAGGCACCCGTTCCTGTCTGTTCCCTCCTGGGTCACAGGCAGGGACCACAACCTGCGCTTCTCCAGCCCCACCAGCAGCTGCTGGACATTTGGCAGCTGGCTGTTGAGGAGACGTGGCCATAGACATTTCTTGTACTTGGAGTTGGCAGCTGAGCTCTGAGAGACCAGAGAGAGCAGCTGCCACTGCTCTTTGTCACCATTTGTCAAGCCACTGGAGGAACAACTGGTGCAGGGGTGCGGGCTGGCACAAACCACACTGACCAACAGACTTTTGTTTTTGGTGGTGGTTTCCAAGAATTGTCATCCTTGCTGCATCCTGGGCCATCGTGAGACACTGGTGTGCCACCAACCATGGTGGGATCCTCCTGCCTCCAAAGGCAGCTTCCCACTGGGTGACAGCGGGCTGGTATTTCTCTTCCCAGCACAGTGTCCCTTACCCAGGGAGAGTTGTGGAAAGGTTGTTCCCACTGTCAGTCTGTCATCCCTTTCCTTGCACCTTTTGATTTCCACTTTCTGTTTTCCTGCAGCTCCTGTGAATCCCCTTCTGCTACTCCCTCTCATGCCTCCACTCCCTGCTTGCTCCATGCAATGCTCCCAGGCACAGGGTGTATTTCTTCTTCAGCCTGCCCATCCTACAGGAAAGATTTGATATCTGGGGCTTGAAAGATGGGGGAGGGAGGGTCTGTCCTCAGACCTGCCCTGCATTTGCACTGCATCTACAAAATGTCTTGGTGTCTCCTGGCAGCTACTAGGCTACTGCAAATGCCCTGGCCATCCTCCAGCCTGGGGCATGTGGTCCATGATGGTAGGTCACCTTGTCTTCCCTCTGGAGTGTGCCGCTGCATCTTGTTTCTTTTTCCTTTGAGGAGCTTTCTCTGGTCAAACTGACTGGTCTGACTGGTCTTGAAGGTGGCAGATACCCCTGTTGGGGCTTTCCGGTCTTCCTCAATCTCTTCTGCTGTCTAATTGCTCTTCTAATCACTTGTGTGCTGACTCTCTTCATGCAGTGATGTGATACCCTGGACCCCTCCCCAACCTCCTCAAGGGCAGCCTGGGCCTTGGGGAGGGAGCAGGCAGGAGACCTGCTCTTGACTTCTTTGAGGCTTGGATCACAGCCTCTGAGGACCTGGGGGATCTGCTATGGGTCACTTGCCCACCAGAGCTCTTGGATCTGAGCATGGCTTGTCCCCTGGAGTCTGCACTGGCCCTGAGTGCCACTCAGGCACCATTGCATGGATTTCCACTTCAAGCAGGTGTTCAGAGCCCAGCACCCGGGCCAGGCTAGCCAGCCCTGGCCCACCCCATGTGCTGGCCTTGTCTTATGTCTGTCTGCAGTAACTGTCAGCCTGGAGCAACTGCTTCATGCCAGTACAACTCTGCTCATTCATTTGGGCAGGCCACCATCTCACCTGTGCTGCTGGGGTTCAGGAGGGAGTGCCAGATGCTGTGAAAATCAGTTTGTCCAAGTCAGAGGTGGCAGGTCCCTGGTATGCTGGCTCCTCTTCTCTGGGACAGTGTTGCTCATGAAAGTGGTAATTTTTCAGTGAATGCTGGAGAAAGTGGTGGAAAGCGAATTTTGAATTTGTGGGTGCCTGTGTGAAACACGGGCTGAGGAGCAGGGAAAGGCTGCAGGACGACATGGGAAAATGGGAAAGAGAGGAGACATTACTGGTCTAGTTCTCACAATAGGGATAGTGACAGGGATGGGCAGAGGTGATCAGGTGCCGTCAGGTCCAGCTTTGCTGCACCCAAGACTCTGCTTCACTTTGCTGACCAGCTTGGGTCAAGGTGCCAGCACGTCCCGGGCACACAAGGCAATTTGTGGCTGGAGGCTGCAAGATGGATGACCAAGTTTCTGGCTAAATTGATGGTGCCTGAGGAAAAGTGGCCAATATCTCATCACTGGAGAATATTCATGCTGTCCTGCTGCACCTGTGCTCTCCTTGGAGGCACTTGTTACTCCAGGTCTCACTGCGATCTGAGCAGCCTCTAAGAAGCCATCGCAGAAAGCCTCACCGTGGATGCCATCAGAAGTGAAGGCAGACCTGGGCTCCAGGCAGATTTTGCCTCCTCAGATACTTTTCCTTGCAAGGACCCAACTTCTTTGAGCAATGAAAAATCTGTCAGGCTGTGTCCAAGGAGAAGAAAGATTACACAGCTGCACAGAAAGGAGACCTGGCAAAATGTCCTGCCAAAGACTGGTCTGAGTGCTCAGGAAGAGGCAAGCTATTTAGTTTGGAAAGCAAGATGCAGAGAAAAAACCTGGCTGCCTAAGGAACAACCTGGGAACATGAACCCTTGCATTACGGGGGTGCAGAGGGTCAAGTTCCTGGCAGGGATCAGTTGCCATTGCCATAAGATGCTGCGAAATGGAGATCAGGATAGAGTCGTGTCCCGTACCCCATAAACACAGATCAGGGATGCCCAGCTGGGGCAAGATGGGGCCAAGAAGAAGAGGTCAGACTATGTCCCACCAAAACCAGCCAAGCACTATCCTGCAGGCACTACCAGGTTGATGCTAGTGGCCTGACCACAGGGACTGCTCCCAGGAAGATCCACAGGGCTCTGTGCACGCTGCTGCAGGGTCAAGGCTCCTGAGAGCAGAGGCTGTTGACCCTTAGCACGCTGCTTGGAGGAGAGGAAACTTCCAGAAGAGGTTTCATGCCCCTGGCTCCTTTGGGGCCAAGTAGCAGAAGTGGTTCAGGCAGGAGACAAGGGGAGGAGCAGGCTATCTGCTCCAGTCTGTTATCTGCAGGGTCAGTGCACGTTGAGCCACCTGCCCCTAGACCAGGTGAGATGCTCTGGCCAGCAGCATGGAGACCACCAAGCAGTGAACCCCACTAGCCACGTGTAGAGCCAGGTTATGGGCACCGTGGTCTCCAGCAGCTGCACCTCCCAGGGCCACCCGTGTGCCCTTGGCCCTCCCCAAGCACCAGGTAAAAGCTGCAATGTCATCCCATGATCACCATTGCTTCATATCGCCACGCTTTGAGCCAACACGGGACATAGAGAGCTTTTTCTTTCTCTTTTGGACGGCAACAGAGCTCCAAAAAGCTGCTCCCTCCTTGCAGGGGGTGAGAAGTTCAGCTGAGACACCTCACTTGCTGTGAACTCTCTTAGGGTGAACAGGATTGTAATGATAATAGTGACAGTAGTAATGCTAATACTCTTAACTGTAACAGTTTGCATTTATCCAGCACTTTCTGTACACAGCATTTTGTCCGTTACTTCCACAGTAATTCCATGGAAATCCCACCACTTAGGCCCTTAGACATGCATAGATTGTTTCTGAGTTTAAGATAAAAATTTCTTGCTGAAGAATTCCCCAGTCCCACAAGGGAAATGCAACTGCATCGCAACAGCTGTGAGACTCAGGCTTGCTCTAACCGATACGGCTTTGCACCTTGACGCTCCCGTGAGAGCTGAGGCACTCTCTCCTGATAGTGGTTTTTGCGAGCTCCAGCGTTATAGAGACCCTTTAGCAAACAGTGGAGGAGGAGGTGGATGTTGGATTGCTTTACTACACGTCATTTTCAACTGTTTATAATATTCTTCTGTGTCTACATATTTTCTCTGTGCACATTATTCATCAGAGTAAAAAAAGGAACTATGAAAACCTCGACCAACTTTCCTATGACAACAAGCGAGGACCCAAGGTATATATGCATGGAAATGCACGCCGCCCACCAACCTAACTAGCAAATGAAAAATAGCCACAGCCACCAGAAAAATAAAAAAGAAAAAAAAAAGAGAGAAAGAGAAAAAAAGAAAAGAAAAGAAAGAAAAAAAAAAAGATCCATGACTATGTTTCTTGGTAGCACGTTTTTATGTTGAGATAGTTTGGTTTGGACTTGAGAATGGAAACCTAGCCAGCTGACCCTGGAAGGATTTCTTTTTGAAACATGCATGTGAACCAGTAATTAACTTGCAAGTTTTTTTTTTTTTTTGAAAAGTTGAACCAACCCCCTTTCCTCCCCAAAGGAAACGGTTCCTTGGTGTAAGTTGTTCACTTTTACTCCCAAAGGTTAACCCTGTGCAATATGTTTTTTTCATTTCCCATGTTTTTGAAAAACAACACTCGTTTGAGTTTTCAATTGCATTTCAAAGCCTTTTTCTCTTTCCTGTACAATGCACGCCTCTTTTTGGGTCTTGATTGACTTCAGTTTGCATGCACAGTGCAAAAAAAAAAAAAAAAAAACCAAAAAGCCAAAACGTTAAAAGAGAAAGGAAGGAAGGAAAGAAAGAAAAGAAAGAAAAGAAAAGAAAAAAGAAAAAAGTAGCTATAACCAACCTTATTTAGCAGACTTTTGTGCAGTTTAATGAATTCTCTTGACCCTTTTCTAGATAGCATGGCTCTCACAAGCAGTCCTGGGGCTCCCGCACTAACCAACTTTGCTCACACTAATCACAGGCTGAGAAAGTCCTTCAGTTTGACCCTGGAACCAAAAATGTGACGTCGCTGCTGCTGGAGGCTAAGGAGCTGGAGGCTCGAGTCATCATCCTTTCTGCCAGGTAAGGCAGAGCTGTCCCTTCCCCTCCCTGCTCTGATTTCCTCATTCTCCCCTTTGCAGCACTGCTGAGCGCTGGAGGCAGTGCAGATTTGGGGCATGTCATCCTTTCAAGGAGCAAGGGAGAAAACCCACATAAAGCCCCGTGTGCCAAGGAGGTAGTGGATGCTGTGCTGTGTGTGCTGCTGGCCAGAGAGCTTGCAATCATGAACATGGTTGAGATGTCTGGCAGTCTTGCAAAGCATTAGCAGCTGCAGAAGCAGCAATAGTTACTGAGGATGTATCCTGATCCACCTGTGAAGGAGGGGAGTCTTATTGCCCCATGCCTACAGCTGATGAGCAATAAGGAATGGGCCAGATTTGCAGATGCTCAGCAGTGCTGGGTGCTGTGCGATTAGATGAAGCTGAGAGAAAGGGTCCCATCACACCAAGGAATTAGCCATCGACCAGGAGAACCAGTTATAAGAGGAGGTCTGCCTGGGGACATATTTTCCCTGGCCCTGCCACCCTCTCAGGGTCCTATACAGGGGGAAAGGGGCCATCTGGCACCTGGAGCCACATTGCCGTTCCCTTCTTCTCGTTGCAGTGAGGATGATGCGGCCACGGTGTACAGATCAGCAGCCATGCTCAATATGACGGGCTCCGGCTACGTGTGGCTGGTGGGGGAACGGGAGATATCGGGCAATGCCCTGCGTTACGCCCCTGATGGTAGGCACCCACCGGAGGCGCCCGCCCTGCTGTCAGCCAGGCTTGGAGGAGCCTGCTCAGAGCTGGGATGAGCAGCGCCTGCCCTCCCGGGGACCCCTTGGGCTGGGGGAACGCGATGCCATGGTGGTCCCAAGCGAGTGGAGGGTCCCACACATTGCTCTCCGCTCCCTTTGCCTGCATGGAGAGACAGCAGCCTTGGCCACACTGCCGTGCCCCAAATCCAGCTTGCCAGGGCTTTGCAAGATGACTGTCACCTGGGGGAAAGGCTTGGGCAAGGGGAGGGGGGTGGAGCATGGGATGTCAGCAGTCCACGTAGCTGTCCCCAGTCCCCATCCAGCAGGCAGGACAGTTCCAGCCCAGCACCACTACAGCTGCATGCCCTACCTGAAGCTCAGGCAACTCCCCAGCTGCATCCGAGGGTTCCTTAGCCCCATAACTGCGTGCTTGCTGGCCCCCCAGCCCTGCGCATGGGAGTAATGCCGGAGCAGCCAGTGTGCCCTGCTGACCTGCCTCCTCCCCTCTGCTTGTGGCAGGAGTGATCGGTTTGCAGCTCATCAACGGAAAGAACGAGTCAGCCCACATCAGTGACGCTGTTGCAGTGGTGGCCCAGGCTGTGCATGACTTGTTTGAGAAGGAGAATATCACAGACCCGCCACGGGGCTGCGTGGGCAACACCAACATCTGGAAGACGGGACCCCTATTCAAGAGGTATTTGGGGAAGGGTCCTGCTGGAGGGAGCAGAGGACCTCCTGGGGGAGAGCTGGAAAAGGTGGGAGCATGTGGAAAAGAGAAGCATGCTAGCTTTGTTCAAAGTATCCGTCACTAGAGCTTTGGGGCATGTGGCACAGGATTGCTTGGACTCTCCTGCATGATTCGGATGTGAGGGCTACATCTCTCCTAGAAAACTAGCCAGGACACAGGCTCAGGCACTGGCGCCCAGTTTGTCCAGGCTGTTTAGGCATTATCCTGGTACCTGGCATTTTGGTCCATGCCAACCCACGCTCTCCTATGCAATGCTTGGGCAGCTGGGATCAGTGTGGGCAGGGAATGACTCTATGAGGAAGAAGTATGGGGGCCATGATCTCCTCTAGTCTGGATCTTAATTCTGTGGGTGGAAGAGAGGAGAAAGGGGGTTTTCTGCTGAATCAGGGTAGGGGGATATTTCTGTCAAATTGGAGCTCAGTGCTGCGGACATGTTTCTTGCTGAACATTTCAGGACTGCAGCATGGGTCAGCGTGCTGCAAGCAGGACTTGGGGGCAAGAGATCTCCATGCATGGGACAGGCTGCTGTCTGCTGTAGCAAACACTGGTGCTGTGTTTTTGGGTGGTGGGGTCTCAGCAGATCAGGGCATGTGTGTATTGGGTCTCGCTGCCGTGGGCAGTGTGATCGGCAGATGCTGCATGCATTCCCCAGAACACAGTCTTTGTGCTGCGTGGGGTTTTGTGCTGCGTCACTGCAGATGCTGGAGCCACAGGGGCCACTTCTGCAGGCTGGATCTTGGTAAAGCAACAATTTCCTTTGCAGCATGGCTCCTTGTGTGGGAGGGCTGCTCTCTGCAGCGTGTAGCCTGGCACCAGGGTTTTGCTTTTGGCGGTTGGATCAGGGGATGCTCTCTGCAGACATGGACGTGGTGTCTGTGGGATGCCTTTTCCATAGATCTGGTTTCTGTTGAGCATGAGACCTGCAAAGCCTGAAGATTATTTTAGAAAAATTTCTGGCATCCTCTACAGTGACATGATCTTTGGCATGAGCTATTTGAAGTTGCTCTCTATGGTGCACTGCCAGTGGCTCAGGCAATTCTTCTGTGTCTTCACTATCGCCTTTCCAGGGTTTGGAGGGCTGGTTCTCCCCTTGATGGTGTATGTGCATGCCTGGGGCACTACCCAGGCTGTGATGGGCTGGTGCCAGACAGAAGCACCAGGAGCGGTGGCATGGACACAGCTCCCAAGGGATCCCCAGAGGAAGGTGTCTTTGGGTGCTGTGGGACAGATCATTCCTTAAGGGAATGGGACTGATCTGCTGAAAAACAAGTGGCAATGACAACAGGTATGGTAGTGCAACATTTTGGAAACTGACTCCATCCACCAGGAGAGGATGACCACAGGTCTATGAACAGGCCATAGGTAGCCTTGACTGGACTTCTATAGGGTAGTGGGCATATGGCAGGCAACTGAGGAAAACATTTGCCTTTCTGATGCCTTCTTAGGTGTCCCAATGGTGACAGGAGGTTTTCTAGGTTGGCCCTGCTCTGTTTCTCTCCACAGGGTGTTGATGTCCTCCAAGTACTCGGAGGGTGTTACTGGACGGGTGGAGTTCAACGAGGACGGGGACAGGAAGTTTGCCAACTACAGTATCATGAACCTGCAGAATCGGAAACTGGTCCAAGTTGGGATTTACAATGGCAGCCACGTACGTAGAGGCCTGAAAAGGTTGGGTAGGAGGGATGTGCGTGCTGGGGTGTCTACCTATGGCCTCATGTCTATCTCCTTCCTCTGGGATTGACCACAGGTCTTGACCAATGACCGGAAGATTATCTGGCCAGGGGGAGAAACCGAGAAACCTCAAGGCTATCAGATGTCAACCAAGTTGAAGGTAACAGCAAATGGCATTAGGGGGTGGCAGCTCTCCTCAGCTCTCTGCATGCAGGGCTGTGACTTTATCTGCCTCCATTTCCACTGCTGCCTCTGCAGCTGTGAGCAGCATTTGCAAACCCAGGGCACCTGGCATCTCGGAAAGGATATAGCAGAACAACTTAGAGAAGGTACTGGAGGGTGTTCAGAGCTAGAGCACAACTTCCAGCTGGAGACAAACTAGATGGGGTGGCAGGCATCCTTTGGTTTGGAAAGAGACAGCTGGAAAGGGGATATGAGAGAGAACAGCAGAGAAGGGATGGAGGGATAAGGTGCTCACAATTCCTTGTGGCTTGGGAGCCAGAGGGCACCTGGCACAGGTCTGCAGGAAATGCAAGGATGGGCTCCTTTGGCCAAGGCATAGTTCAGTTCTGGAGCCTGCTGCTGCTAGACAGCGCAGAGGCCGGAAGGAAACAGGTTCAAAAGAGGATTAAACAGGCTAGGGGAGGGTGGGTGGCCTGGTGGCTGCAATGTTGGGCTCAGGAAAAACCCTGAAGAGCTGATGGCTGGAAGCTGGAAGTGACACTGGGAGAAGGTCCCTCTATTCTTGCTTTGCTTCTCACACCCTTCCCTTAAGTGTAGCCCAGCAGCAACTTTAGTGACTGGATCCTGGGCTGGCTAGTCTTACCAGTATGATCATTCGTTTGTCCTACTGTCCAGGCAAGGGAAATCACACGTTCCCACCAGCAGTGAGCCCTTATTCCTGCAGAGGTGGTGCAGATGCATTGGGATGCTGCTTTACTGAAAAGGTCCAGGGCAGGACTGCAATATCTGCATTAGCTTGGGGCAGTGTGACAGTGTCTAAAGCACTATTCAGGGCACTAATCCTGGCTGTGCGGTGGCTCTCATCAGCCTGCTGTTAGGGAGAGGGGTGTGAAAGCCTTTGAGGCTGAGATGAAAGTGTCACGTGAAGGAGGATGTTGATATGGCTGTTCCTCATCTTGGGTGCAGGGAAAGCAAATGTTCCCTGTGTCAAAGCCAGGTCCTGCTGCTGGGCCGAGCAGTCCCATGTGCTGAGACGGCAGCTGAGGAGAGCACCACAGCATGTTGGCCATGCTTTTGTGGAGAGGGCAGCCCAGCTCCCCACCCAGGGGAACATAGCTCTGGAGGGGAACGGAGACAAGCAGGTGTTTGTGCTTCACCTTGCAGATCGTGACCATCCACCAAGAGCCCTTTGTGTATGTGAAGCCCACGCAAGCAGATGGGACATGCAGGGAGGAGTTCACCATCAATGGAGATCCTGTGAAAAAGGTCTTTTGCACTGGACCCAACGAGACCATCCCAGGTAACTCAGCCCGGTGGTGAGCGCAGCAGCTTCCCCAGCCTACCCAGCTGATGAAGACTCCTATCCCAAGACGGGGTCCCCAGGGAGGGTGCTCAGTCACACAGGAGGCCCAGAGGATGAGGAGCAGAAAGGTGATAGCACATTCAGCCCCCAAATGCCCCCTATCAGCTCAGCCCCACAGTAGTGCTGTGCACTAACTGGGCACTGGGATTCACGTTTTTGATCCCAACAGATGACTTTCCCCACTGTCTCTTTTGTGGGTGGACTCCAGGGCTGTTTTGGGGGATTGCATCCCATGTTTCTGTCTCCTGACATGCTCCCATTCTCTTTGCCTTGATCTCAAGCAGAAGTGAGAACCCTGAGGCACATTAGCACCTGCTGCACTGTACTAACACCACCAGTTTCAAATCATTTTGTTACGGAAAGCCTGTTTCAGGATTAGGAGTGAGAACCTGGGGGGGGCCACGAGCTGCTTAGCAATGCCAGGCTTGCCCAAATCCACGTGAAGTGCATCCCCTTGGCCCATCACGCTTTCACGTGCGCAACTCCCACCTCCAGCCCTGAGTTGTGTCCTGGGCTGTGTTCAACCTGATGGGTTTGTGTTAGCACTCCTGCAGCGCAGCCTGCATGCACCAAGACCCCTCCGTCTCCTGCAGTGGGTCGGTAGCACCAACTCCTAGCCCACCTCACTGGGACATAGCAAATGAATGAGACCCCTTTGCCCCCAGCTTGCCAGCACCCATAGGTGATGGAGGCAGTGGGAGCGGGTGGTCAAGGTGGATGGTCCTGCCTGAATAATATGATTACATCTCATATGAGACCAGAGCCATGCAGGTGGCTGCTCTCGCTGGGGACAGCCATGGATCCTGCATGGGGTCCCTGGCAAAGGGCTGCCTCCACTTGCCCATCCCATTTTCTCCTGTCCACAGGCCGCCCCACCGTGGCACTATGCTGCTACGGCTTCTGCATCGACCTGCTCATCCGGCTGGCAGGGGTAATGAACTTCACCTACGAGGTTCACCTGGTGGCTGATGGTAAATTTGGTACCCAAGAGCGGGTGAGTTTGGGCAGCCTGTGAGATCTCTTTGCCCATATTGTGTGTTGAAACACCCCCAGAGCCTTCTCCAGAGCAGGCATGGGGTGAGAGGGCAGCGCAGGGTGCCTGCCATGTATGTGGGGGTCCTGGCTGGTGGGGGACAGATGTCAGGGAAGTGGGCTGATCCTGCACTGGCTCTCTGGCTTGTGACAGGTTAACAACAGCAACAAGAAGGAGTGGAATGGGATGATGGGGGAACTGCTGAGCGGCCAAGCAGACATGATTGTGGCTCCCCTCACCATCAACAACGAGCGGGCACAGTACATTGAGTTCTCCAAGCCCTTCAAGTACCAAGGCCTCACCATCCTTGTGAAGAAGGTATGGGCTGGGCTGGAATGTTTTGTAGAACAGAGGAGGTGCCCTTTGTTCCCTAGCTTGCAGACATGTGCCATGCCTGCACCATGCCCAGCTCCCCCAGCTGCTGCCCCCTGCCCACCCAGGGCAGCCGCTGCAAATCCCAGCCTTTGCTGTGGGATGCCAGACTCCAGGTTGCTGGTTTTAATGCTGGGTCTTGTCTCAGCCACTTTGAGCCTTCCTGTGTACCAGAACAGGAGGAGCTCAGAGCAGGGCAGAGGCCTTTGTGAGTCCAGCCAGGCAGGCAAGGTGCAGGTGTGATGGGTGCCAGTGCTGCTCACCTCTCTCCTGTGTGCTAGGAAATCCCCCGCAGCACCTTGGACTCATTCATGCAGCCTTTCCAGAGCACACTTTGGCTGCTGGTGGGGTTGTCTGTGCACGTGGTGGCAGTGATGTTGTACCTCTTGGACCGATTCAGGTGAGTGTGCTTTGGGTAATCCAAGGGCTGGAGGGGACAGGGAGGTGCTCCTGGGAACCATCCCCTGGGTGCCCACAGTGTCTTGCTCAGGCACAGCCCTGCAGCCCTTTGGGAGGCTCTCATAGGAGCTAAACCCACTTTCTCTACCCTACCAGCCCTGGGCTGAGGCTCTCAGCCTCTCTGGCTGCTGCTAAGCTGAGAGATATGGATATGTGGGGTACCGGGCACCTGGGTATGTGGGAACATGCCTGTCAGACCAGGTGCTGTGCTGATGCCTGATCAAGGGGAACATCAGCTCCTGGGCTCTGAGTTAGCTCCCTTCCTTGGCCCAGAGGCAGCTCATCTGAAGGGCAGGGAGCCTGTCCCCACCTCAGCCCTGTGCCCAGAGGCTTTTGCGGTTAATCTGCAGTGAGCCCTCCATGTTGCAGTGGGAGAGGCTCAAGCTGGCCAGAATCAGATGGTCTTTCTGGCCCAGAGAGAAGCATGATGGGACCAGTACCAGTGTGAGCCAGACGGGGTTGCAGGTCAGCAGAGGGGACATGCAAGGCAGGGGGACATGGGGAGTGAACAGCTGTTTGGGGCATAGGCACAGTCTGTACGGATGAGTGATGTAAGGCAGCATCAGGACTCTTAGGGCACAGTGGAGAGCCCTGGGAACCAGGATAAGGGATATGAGAAGAGCTCTCTGTCTTGTTTTCCAGCCCATTTGGCCGGTTCAAAGTGAACAGCGAGGAGGAGGAGGAAGATGCCCTGACCCTTTCCTCAGCCATGTGGTTCTCCTGGGGAGTCCTGCTGAACTCTGGCATCGGAGAAGGTGCGTCACAGCACGCAGTGCAAATGCTCTGCCCCGCAACCCTGGCCCTGAGCTGGGGGGGATACCAGGCTGGGGGAGAAGCCCATGCCCTCTTCCACTGCTTCCCTCTGTGGCAGGGCTGATGCCCTGGGGGGACCTCATCCCCTGAGCCTTCCCTGGAGCAGGCTGGTAGGTGATTCCGTGATGCTGGGGGTGGCACACTTGTGGCACTTGTGCAGACCATCCTGCCACCCCTCACCATCAGTGGTGGAAAATAGGTCTTTCTTGGGCTGCTTCTCCTGCCCAGGGTTACCCATCCATTCAGGGTGAGACACATCATGCCCTGGAAGGAGCTGGGGTTTTCTTGGTTTGGGCAATGCAGAAGCTCCTTGCACATCTGTTGGCAGAGCAGATAGATGGTGCACATCTGCAGCTGCCATTGGTCTCATGTGGGATGGATGTGGCTTTGGCGACAAAGTCAAGCCCTTGTTGTGCCAGTCTGATCTTGCCTCTCTCCTCTCAGGTGCTCCCCGGAGTTTCTCTGCCCGTATTCTTGGCATGGTGTGGGCTGGCTTTGCTATGATCATTGTGGCTTCATACACTGCCAACCTGGCAGCCTTCCTGGTGTTAGACCGGCCTGAGGAGAGAATTACAGGCATTAACGACCCCCGGGTAACGGCCTCTCACTTGCTTTCCCCTTCCCTGTCCACCTCTGGGCAGAGATGCAGGAGATGCCTCCAGTGCATATCTCCTGACTCATATAATGTGGCTTGTAGTACCCAGAGCCCTGTTTTAACATGGTTGTGGGTCTGTGCCAGGGAGTCGAGCCCCACGTAGCTCTGCCTGGTGGGTCTGAGCCCCTGCGCTGGGTGGGAATGGACAGACATGGGGAGGGATTAGCAGGAAAAAGGCTTGTCCAGAAATAGCATGTACCCAGCCAAACTGCCTGCCAGTTCCTGGAGAGCCTGCACTAACCAACGAGGAAACAATTCATTATGGATGAGTTATAACTAATGAAATTGTCCCTGCGGTGCAGTCAATACTCTCAGCAGATACCAGCATGCCTCAAACCCATTTCCTGCTCTGGCAAGGACACAGCCACAGCTTATCAGTCCAGGCACGCAGGAATATACCCCACAGCAGTGCTGACCCACAGCATCCCACACCCTACTGCATCTTCTGTCCACGGCACTGCCAGCCCCATGACATCCACAGGCCTCCTGCATCCTCAATGCCACAGTGTCCCTGTCACATAGCATCCCCTGCCCCACCACCATGGTCCCAGAGCATCCACTGTCCCATGGTATCTTCAGCTCTGCTGAGGAGATCAAGGTCTTCTCTGGGAAACAGGTCCCTAAAGGAGATGGGAAATTAGGAAGCACAGCTTTGGGGTGAGCCAGCTTGGCTGATGAAGAACAGAAGAAATAGGAGCCCTGCCCTTGCCTTTCAGCTGCGCAACCCTTCTGATAAATTCATCTACGCCACGGTGAAGCAGAGCTCGGTGGATATCTACTTCCGACGGCAGGTGGAGCTGAGCACGATGTACCGGCATATGGAGAAGCACAACTACGAGAGCGCTGCCGAAGCCATCCAGGCAGTGAGGGACAAGTGAGTGGGGCCAGCACCTTGCCTGGCCATGCTGGGAAGAGTTTCAGGGATCTGCAGTTTGGCAGAGCAAGCAGGGCTGATACAAACCTGGCAGGACCTGCAGTCAAAGCATGGCTTGATGGGACCTGCCCGGTTGGTGCTGGGTCGGATCTTCCTAGTCCTGGTGCATACCAGGTCTCTGGATGGAGAGCACAAGGTCTGCATGGGGAAAGGCACAGTCGGAGCCCTGGCCCTGGCCATGGCCTCCCCTTCTGGCCTCTGTGCTTTCTTCTGTGCAAGGCTGGGTGGCTTCAAATCCCATGTAAACCACTCACACTCTTCCAAAATTTTGCCAAGCCTTCTGGCTCCCAGCAGGACAGACCCTGCTGAGAGGAGGGTGGTGCTAATCAGTGCTTAAATTAGGGCTGGGAGCACCCTCGCTGCTCCCATGGTGGCTGCAGACAAGCTGGGCTGCTCAACCTTACCTGCCTGTCCTCTCTTGGTGTCCAGCAAGCTCCACGCCTTCATCTGGGACTCAGCGGTGCTGGAGTTTGAAGCCTCCCAGAAGTGTGACCTGGTGACGACGGGGGAGCTTTTCTTCCGCTCCGGCTTCGGGATCGGGATGCGCAAGGACAGCCCGTGGAAGCAGAATGTCTCCCTGGCCATCCTCAAGTCCGTACACAGCTCTTGGCATGGGGCTCGCTCCAAATGCTGCATGTGTTAGCATGCAAGTAGCCTCATGCCAGGCACTGCCACCCTACCCTCCAAACCCCTTGCAGGGACATGGGCTGTGGGGGTGCCATGTCACTCTTGATGAAGGGGATGTGCCTGAATGACCGGGGTGGGCATCCACGGCCCCAGCTCTGGCTCGCAGGGTTGGGGAAGCAGCACCGAGCTGGTGGGAGGGCAGAGCAGAGCAGGGCAGGGAGCAAGAGCTGTGCTCAGCCGCAGGAGTGTAGGCAAAGCTGGCAGAGAGCAGCTCTGGGCCTATCCAGGACCAGGTCCTTGTGAGCAAGGCACGGGCTGCAGCAGCAAGCAGGGGTGCTGCCATTTCCCCACTTCACCCTGCGAGCTCAGCTTGGTTGACAGCATTGCAGTGCCCTGGCTTGATCTTCCAGGGGTTTTTCTTTCAGCTCTGGCTATTCCTGTTAGGCAGAGATATGTCAGGACTCCTGTTGAGTCCAACTAAGGCTTCTATACCAGCATTAGCCTGCAGCGTGGGGTGCCACAAGTCAATCTGATACTATGGGTAAAAAGGGATTTCCTTGTATTAGTTCAGAAATGCCACACCCATTGCAGACAAAGGAATGTGGTGATGGAATAACAGGTAGCCTGGAAGCAGCAAGTAGAGGGAAGGGGACATGCGAGATTCATTTTGCAGAGAGACAGGGTCAGGAGCCACCAGGGTCCTGCCCAAGATGCAGAGATGAAAGGCCTGAGAGAGAGGATGGGCCAGATGTGGAAGACACAGGCAGAACCCAGGGTAACTAACGTAGGGAGCCATGGGACCCCATCTGTGGGGTGGTCTTACCATGGGGATGGGTGGCAGCAGTACAGATGGGATTTGGGACAACAATGTGAGAAGCCTGGAGAGGCAGCAGGAGCCCTTGGTGTCCTCCTGGGAGAGGATGGGGAAGCCCAGGGCTACAGGTGGCCCAGGAAGGCGGTGAGGATGTGCCAGGAACAAGAGGGAGGAAAGCGCAGGGGAACCCCTGGTAGGATGTGTGCTCTGTGCCCACCACCAGCCCCACTAGCTGTTCAGGCAGAGACAGGCACTGCGGGGACATGGTTTGTTTCCTCCCAAGCGGTGACACCAGGTTGCTGGAGAGTCCCAGCCTCGCCGTGCACAGCAGGGAGCTGCCAGGCAGCAGTTTTGCCCTTGCCTTGATCTAGAGGGTGCCACTGATCACCAGACAGGATTGGGCTCCAGCATTGCCTGAGCTCCCAAGTGGCCCTGACAGGTGGGGGGATTGCACAGGAGGGTGCTGGAGATGTGGTTCGTGTCAGCTACTTGCAGCCTCCCTCCGAGCACACTCCCCGAGCCCTGCCTACACCCATCAGCTCCATCCCTTCCCTTGGGAACTGAGCTTACACATGGCTCTTTTTGGCAGCAGCTGGCCAGCTCTCTAGCTGTCAGACACGGGGCAGCTGTGGATCCCTCCTCGCACCTGCTGCACTGTGCACGTGGCTCGTGGCAGCACTGGCTGTGTGCAGGGCAGCGTGCGAACACAGGCACTACAGACAGCCACTGCAGACAGGCCACACGCACTCTCTCTATGCAAAATGCCATACATGCACATGCGTGTGCACGCACACACACACAATCAGCCAGGCATGCACACACAAGCGTGCACACGCACACATCATCAGTTTGTGTGTTTGTAGGCTGCAGGCGATTGCGGAGTCCTAGGACAAAGGGCATGAAGGCACAAAGAGCATGTGCCCCAGCTGCCTGCGGCTGGTCCCCAGTGACTACTCTGTCCTGTCTCCTTGTGTTTTCAGGTCCCACGAGAACGGCTTCATGGAGGATTTGGACAAGACTTGGGTGAGGTATCAGGAGTGTGATTCCCGTAGCAATGCCCCAGCAACACTCACCTTTGAAAATATGGCAGGTTTGTTCTGCAAACCTCTTTCTTCCTCTTCGCTGGGTAGCCTGCTTTCGCTCAAGACATTCTCCTCTCCGGGGCTCTCCTCTCGGGCCAAAGCTCTGCTTCTTCTGGGTTTGTGCTTTCCTAGCGCTGGGAGGCTGCTGTGTTGGGCTCCAATCCCACCTTGTCTGAAACAGCTCCGCGAAGTTTCCCCCACCTTCCCTGGGGTGGCTTTCTCATCGGTGGGACTGTCCTGCTTTGAACATTGCTCCCCTCCCTCTGCTCTGGCCAAACTGCGGCTGTCACAGTGAAATCAGAGCTGTCGCCAAGGCAGAGAGAGGGGAGCAGCACCTCGGGGGAGGCGAGAGTGGCCGCGGAGGCGAGCAAGGATGCTGCTGCAGGAGGGAGCTGGCGGCAAGGGGCAGCCCCCCAGCCCTGACGAGTGTGTCCCGGCTAGCCCTGGGCAGTGGGCAGGGGGCAGGAGGAGGATAATCAATACAGAGGGGTTTTTTTCTTGGTCCCCCTTTGCAAAGAGTGCGAGTTCCCCCAGACTTGCTCTCCCTTTGCAGTGATGCAGTGCTGCCGGCCCTTCACCCAGCCAACATGGTGACATGGGATGAGGGGTGTCTGATGGGACCCCATCCTCACCGGCACCACAGGCCAGGGCAGAAGCACCAAGAGAAGGGGCACTTTGCTCCACAAGACACCACTCCCAAAACTTCAGCCCCGAGGGTTGCAGCTGGCCAAGGACAGCACAGAGAGCTCTATGCACGGCTGTCCTTCCCGATGAGCCAAACAGGAGCACCAGAGCTGGGTTTCTGGTGCAAACGACCCTACAGCCCAGGGGACGGGGTCTGCCCTGGTGCTCAGTGCAGCACCCAGCGTGCCGTGCCTGCCCCCAGCACCGCTGCAGCACAGCCGGTGCCCTGTGCCTGACCAACAGGACCTTGCATGGACATCCAGCACCCCATCACCTTTCTGCCCATCACCGTGGGTACCCAACCCGCAGTGCCTGCCCTGCTCTGCTGGGTTCCCCTCCCTGGCCCCTCCAGGACTGCGGGGGGATGGCGGGGGGCCAAGGGGACCCTGGGTTGGCAGGTGCTCCTGTTGCTGAGTGTGATACAGAAGAAATGAAGTGTCATGGTGCAATTTCCATTGCCCCCTGTAACTTTCCTGCTTATTTCAGGTGTGTTTATGCTGGTGGCTGGAGGTATTGTTGCCGGGATATTTTTAATATTCATAGAAATAGCTTACAAAAGGCATAAGGACGCGCGGAGGAAGCAGATGCAGCTGGCGTTTGCGGCCGTTAATGTGTGGAGGAAAAATCTGCAGGTAGGACAAACCGTTTTTAGAGCAAATCTCCAACAGGTGCGTTTTCCATTCCTTCACCAAATCAGTGAATGCAGAGCTGTGGATTAGCATGGGGCCCTCTGTCCCCCACCCTGCACCCCAGTAACTCCAGCTGGGGTTACTGGGCACCTAGCAAGCTGTAGTGTAGGGTTCCTGCCTTGTCCCTGGGAGCTGCCCTTGGATGATGCTGTCTCTCCCGGGAGGTATTGTGCACAGCTCCAACTGGGACAGAGACCTGGCCCATATGCCCCCAGAGGTGCTTGGGACGGGGACTTTGCTCTGCTGGGGACCATGTGCCAGAGCCACATCTTGCCCTGGCTGAGCAAGCGGTGCTTTGCCCTGCTGCCCAGCTCCGGCCACGCTCACCAGCAGATGGGAGGGTTAATCCACTGCCGCTGAGCATCCCTGCCCGGTGCTCAGGTGGAGAAATGCTCCAGGGATGGTTTCCATCACCTCCCCCTCCCTGCCCACTCCCCGGGGGTGTGGTAGCCCTTGTCATACCCAGGACCAACTCCAAAAAGAGGTGGTGCGTGCTCTTGTCATTTGGAGACAAGGACATCTCCCCACATGGGAGCCAGCAATGCCAGTGCCTGTCAGCGCCAAGGCTCCCCTGGGCCCCTTCTGTGGGGCCATTGCTCTCCCTGGCTTCTCCCATCCCTGAAACACCTCCATGCCGCTCAGGCAGGAGAGCCCGGGAGGGTCAGTGGTGCCTGGCAGTGACACTGAGCCGTAGGCCCACGTGGGCCACCAGCCTCACACTTCCCTTAGCCCATTGCTTTTGGGGCTGAGCCCCATGGTATCCCCGAACCCCAGTTTAGGGCAGCTGGAGGCTCTCTCTGAATTGCCTGGGCTGCTTTTCTTCCTTGGGGAAGAACACCGGCATTCAAAGTGCGGGAGATCCTTTAGGCGACTAAAGGAGACTGCCGTTCACAGCAGAGCCAGTGAATGACAGAGAGAGAACAAGGCTTGGGGACCCCAAAATGAGCCCGGAGTGGTGGCCCTGCGGGAGCAGCACTGGCTGGGGCATGCGGGTGGGCTGCCCGGGTGGAAGCGACCTGCCCGAGAGCAGCAAGGGGAATCACGAGGCCGGGCTGCTGTATCCTGAGAGCTCGCTGGGTTCAGTTCACTGATAAGAGTCTCGGAAAAGCCATTTCTCTATTTTTTTTCCTTTTTTTCTTTTTTTTTTCTTTGCTTCCAAAAAGCAGCAGCACCAAGGGGGTTAAGGCTGCTGGGACAGAGCACACTAGTCGCACTGCCATTTTTCACTTGCCAACCTTCTAGAAAATACTGCACTGGGTCCTTGGGCAGAGTCTGTGGGACTGTGAGCAAAGCATGCTGCCCTGTGGGGGTGAACAGCCTCATGGTAAAGAGCCGTTTGACATTGTAAGACTTTTCCACAGGAGGAAACGTCAGAGCACTAGTATCTGGTACATTGCTAGAAGGTAGGCAAGTGGAAAGATTTATTTGTTAAAACAAACAAACAAAAATAATGGTTTTTGGGATCACAGTTTTGCCATGGCTATTTCCTGAGATGCCATGGAAGAAAAAGACATTTCATTCCATTCATCTTGCTTTCCTTTCCGTTTGTGCATGTCCGCAAAAGAGAGAACTGAGAAGGAGGAGCAAATGTATCCCCGAGCATGCTCTACGCACCAGCGGGATACATTTTGGTTACCCCCGTGCGGTAGCAGAGCCAGACCTGGTCACTCCGTCCCCCGTCGGAAAGGTCACACTCATTGGCACGAAAGCAATTGGGGAGGAATCGTTCTCAGCGCCCGCCGCAGAGCGCGGCCGGTCCCCACGGCTCGCTGCCCCCGCACCATGGCGGCTGGTGCTCCCAGCCTGCGCTAACCAGGTCCGACTCGCTAACACCAATGGCTACATTTTTCAGTTCTGTTTCTCTTTGAGTTCATCCTGACCCCGATGACATCATAGCGCTAACGCTTTGCCTCCTCCCTTTCTTTTCCTTTTATTTTTTTTCCTTTTCTTTTTCTTCCAGTTTCCTTTTTTTTAGCCCGTTTTACTTTTGGAAAAAAAAAAAACACCAACAACAACCACGTTTGGCTTTGCACAACTGCATCATTTAAATTTTTGAATACATTTTTTTACAGAATATTCATACAATGACTTCTCTTTCAATGCAGTCCTCTCTCTCTCTTGTGGCACTAGGATTCAGCCTCAGAAAAGGCCCTGAGCAATTTTTTTTAGTGGTAGGTGCAGCATCTCACCTCTCGGTCTAGCCAGGCTAGCAGTGGAAGCGAGGGGCAGGGCGCCAGGAAGAACATCCCCAGGAAGCGAGGTCAGCTGTGCCGGCCTGGACACAGACACCCAGGAGAGCAGGGCTACTCCCCAGAGGGGTTTCCAGCGCTCCAGATGCGAGGCCGGCCCCATAGCTGTAGCAGTGTGGTGGCCGTGCTGTAGCTGTGGGTCATGGAGGCCCTTGGAGGACTGGGAGTGACAGGACACCTCCAGTAGCTTTCTCACCTAAATGAAGGACATGACACGGGGCAGTATTCAAATAGATTTAGTGTTTCCAACAACACACTAGAGATCTAATCACTTATACATATTCATTTTAGGATAGAAAAAGTGGTAGAGCAGAACCTGACCCTAAAAAGAAAGCCACTTTTAGGTCCATCACCTCCACCCTGGCCTCCAGCTTCAAGAGACGTAGGTCCTCCAAGGATACGGTAAGAGGAAGAAGAACAATTCTGCCCTCTCTCTTTCTCTCTCTTTCTCTCTTCTGCCATCCCATCGACTGCCACACACCCATCCCGAAGCTGCCAGTGTACATGCATAGCTCATGTTCGTCACCAGTCAGTCAGTCAGTCAGTGAGTCAGTCATCCCGTGTACCTGAAAGGATGCTGGGATCCTGGAGGGCAGGCAGGAGGTGGCTTGGAGTCCTGTGATGAGTTGGGAGATGCAACCGAGTTTTTGTTTTGTTTTTTTGTTTTCTTTTTGCCTGGATGATTTCTGATGTTCCTCTCTGTGCTTCGCTCACCTTACCGGTGCTGACCTCTTGAAACCGATGACATTTTTTTTTTTTTTCTGTTCCTGAGTGTTCCTGTTCCTGTTTGTCATTGTATGCCTAAAAATGATCACCCCGATTTAATTTGGGCACCGTGTCACCTCACTGAGAGCCATGCGTGTCACATTCTCTACATGTGATTTTTGTTTGTGACGATTAGCATTCGGGACGTAGTCCTCGGCACAGGAGTGACAGCTGTCTCTGGTTATCGTCAGCAGTAACGCAGCTCCAGAAAAGAGACGCAAAGGCTTGAAAGAGGAGGTTGTTAAAGACCCAACCTTGGTTCAAACTTGTGCTTTCTGCCTCAGAGTAAAACTGCTCTCACGTAACCAGAGAAAATTTCCAAATTGCTGCCTCTAAAGCCAGCTGTTTCCAAATGTGCAAATGTGTCTGCTCGTGCTGGAGCTTCAGACACTCTTCAGCGTCAGGTTGGGCTGTTGGTCTGTCGGACTGAGCCGGTGTCCCTCTGCATGTTGCCGTCTGTTGTATGACACTCTGCACTGTGGCTACTCTGTTGTCTCGTGTGGCGGCAGCCACTGCGTTTTGCTGCCCGACCTCCCGGCGCGATGGGCTTGCCGAAACCGCCTGCCCAGGGCGACCGGCGGGTTTCTGCCCAGGGTTGCTCAGAGCAGGCTCCCCGCCAGGCTGCCCGAGGCGTGAGGCATGGCGGGGACGGGGGGACGGCGGCAGCGTGGGGAGATGCGGCCCCCCATGGCGGGGTGGCCTGTCCCCGGCTGCAGGCTCGGGGTGCCTCGGGGAGCAGCATGCGATATCGCAGGGGGTCTCAGGGCCACGGCTCTGTACGCGAAATGGAGGCAGCTGCCTTTGACACCAATGCAGGCTTCATCCTGAGAAGCTCCTGGAGCACCCCTGAGACACAGGCCCGGGGACAGCTGAGCCCTCGGCCGGGCTCGACTGCCACCGTCTCACACAAAGTGCTCCTCTCGCTGTCATCTCAAAGTTGGGCAGGCATGGGGGGGGACCCACACTCTCCCTGCTCATCCCCCATACCCCACAGGGAAGACAGGCATCCCTGTCACCTCCTGCGCTGCTTCCATGCTCCCTGGGTAGCACCTTGTCCCAGTGGTACCCCCATGTCTGGGGTCCCCCCTCCCCACTGTACACTCCCCAAGCAGCTCTGCAGGAAGGTTGCAGGTTGTGTCTTGTTGGCCTGAGCCCTGACAGGGGGAGAGGAGACAGTGATGGGGTAGATGGTGCAAGGGGGAGAAGGTGGGAAGAGTCAGGAGGAGGAGGAGGGACAGGTGGGATGCACAGAAAAAAGGGGAGAAAATATTGCAGAAAGATCTGCTGGGGGGACCCTCAGCATGTCCTGAGCAGACCCCCATGTTTTGTTGTGTTTGAACCACTCCACAGTTAGGAAACCAAGGGGTCCTGTCCTTGGAGAACAGGAGTATCACGGTGCAGTGGGCACCTGGGAGGACCAGTGGGCACAGGAGAGGGGGAGAACCCAGGAACAACGGGGCAGCTCCTGTGTGGCACTTCTGGTACCTCCCGCATCGCTCCCTCTTCAGGGAAGCATCCTGGGCCTGATCCTGCTCCATGGTGTGGCATCCAGCCTACGCCACACCACTCCACAGCACTCTCTGTCCCAGGGTAGGAGCACCCCAGTGCCCTGAGCTGACCAGGTCCAGGGGACACCTGCACCAGAGGTCCCATGGGCAAGCAGTGGAGCTGTGCTCTCCCCTTCCCTTGCCTGGTGGGGACCTGTGTTCTGGGTCCCTGCCATGCTCTTCTTGGCACGTTGCTCACAGGCGAGTTGTGGAGGGAGATGGCCCCACTCATCCCAGAAGATGGCCTCCGCTTTGGGGGCAGCTGCATCTGTGAGGCAGCTATAAGAAATGATGCCCTGCTGCCCAGAAAGCCTCTCACAGTCTTCCGCCTGCCATGGAGTGGTGTGGCCGGGGTCCCAGGACACTTTCCCCAGGGAACCAGGCTAGTTGGGTCAAGAACAGGCTAGCGGGGTCAACATCCAAGCCAACGTGGCCAAGATGGAGGCTAGCAGGTCCAAGGTCCAGCTATTGCAGGAGGTCTGTGGCGGAGCGAGCTTTGTCGTGATGTTGGGCAGACCTGCTGTTTGCTCTGCAGGTTGAGCAGCCAGCGGGAGGGTGCTGCCAGCAGCTCATGTCACAGCCTGCCATTTGGTGCCCTCCGCTCCCGTGCAGCAGCCCTGGCTCAGAGACCCCAATGCCCTCCTGCTGTGGAAGGCCCCATGAGTATGTAGCATGCTGGGACACGTTGCCTGGGGTCCTTGTAAAGACAAGGAAGCAGTGAGGCGCTCTGTTTCATGATGCTCGGCAGAGCCACGGGCCGACACCAGGTCTCAGATGGGCAAGGCTTGAGAGCCCATGGGGCTGGAAGGCCAGACTGACCCCAGCCCCATGGGCTCTCCTGGCTAGTGAGCGAAAGACGCAAACCTGGTGGCCTTGCTTCTTTCCTTTTCGTTGTCGGGAGTTTTAAAAATGGATTCTGCTCTGCAGCCCTGCAGAATGGTCCCTCAGGAGTGCCAGAGAGACAGGCTGGCACCATGGAGCCAAGACAGCCCTGGGAAGCTACCACCCCACTCTGAACGTCCTAGCGCCCACCATCACCCGAGCTGCACAGCCTCTCCGCGGCACATCATCCCCACCGCCCCAGGAGGAGATGCATGTGTTCCCCATAGGCAGCTCCTGCAACTCGAATAGCACTCGCAGAGCTGACGTACTGCCATCCATCGCAGCCACCCACGATACTGCAACCCCACAGAAGCCATGTGAGACGCATAAACCACACAGACACCTTCCGAGCCGGCACATTTCGTACAGACACGTAACGAGGTGCACAGGTCCCTTAGCCCCCCCCACTGCAGCCGTCATCAGAGTCACACTGCCAGCCCGCGGGCGTCCCCGCCCATACACAGCATGACACATGTCCCATGTCACCGCCAAGCAAGGGCCCGGCTCTGTGAGGCGATGCTCGCCCTGCAGCCATGGGGATGGTGCCAAAGCTGGTTGAGAACTGAGGGGGTTCATGGAAAAGGTCACCTTTTCAGTGAAGGATCAGCCGTCCCAAAGCCAAACGCTTCTTGGCTGAAAAAGAACCTAGTTTTTGGCCCAAAAGAACCAAATGTAGGTCAAAGACAACTATTTTTTTTTTTTTTAAAGGAAAGTTGACATTTTCTACAGCAAGATTACATTTAGCTGGAATCTTAATTTTTAATTACAAAAAAACCCACCCAAACCCCAAAATTCTTCCAGAAAATCTTCCACCAGCCAGGGACTACCATATGAGCCCAGATTAGGTTGAAGTCATTTTTAAAGACATATTAAGTTCTTGTCTATATTTTCTTCCTGGTTGTCATTTAAAGTTTTTGGTGCCTTCACTTCACTTCCATACCTTAACATGTTTGAGTCTCTTCTACAGTTAATATTGATTAATTTCTTGGCTTTATAATGTTTGGTTTGGGGATAATTGCACCATCCCTGTAACATAATTTACCCTAAATTACTGATATGTGCTTCTAGCATTAGTTCTACTTTAAGATAGTTTTGATATGACAGTTTTCTTGCTTTTTTTCTTTTCCTTTTTTTTTAATTTTTATTATTAAAAATTGCATGCATGAACTCTACACAAAAAAAAGTAAATGAGAATGTTACCCTGTGATAACTCTGTGATTGGAGGAGATATGCTTTCAAATCAAAAGCCATGCTCTTGTATTTTAATTTTTCTGGCCAGATTCCCCATTTCGCTTGGTTATTTTACCGTTTCCCACCCCCAGAGCTGTGCAGAGAGGCCAGAAACACCCTAGCCTGCCCTGCTAGACCTCCAGCTTTCCACCACAGCAGCCACACGTACACGTGCACCGAGGCACATGCACACACAC